TGAGTGTAACAGGTTTCGTAGTACATCCTCAACAGATAAGTTACAAGATGCAAGACAAACACGGTTGTGTTTTACACGTGTGCAAGAGGTGCATACAGAAGTGAACTGTGAACCAGTGAGCAAGTTCAGTGATAAGCTAAATGTAAACTCCAGGTCTGACTCCGAATTGTGTGACGATAACGGTGCTGTGAAGAAGTCTGTAGTTGCAACTGGTAAGCCATTGTTGAATAGAGTGTCACAGAATAGAGTTATTGCTTCAGAGTGCAGTTCTGACCCTACAAGTTTACAAGGTATTACTAGTCAGAGTGAAGATATAGAACCTTTAATGATTTGTGAGGAGGAACCAAAATTGTCTACTTCTGTTATTAAAGAGTTTGAAAATGATGAACTTGACGGTAAATTGAATATTTGTGGTAATGATCATGATAGTGCACATTTGTCTTTGGTTGATCATGATGAGATGAGGGATATGCCTACTACTGCTAAGTTGAACAAAGTTTCTGTACAACTTGAACGTGAAGTAGAAATAAATGCAGATGCAGTTGCAGAAGTTATGGATATTTGTGAGACCGTCAGTGTGAGTGATCAGCATGTAGCCCACCTATCATCAGATGCTAGTGCTAAACCCGAACTAGTAGTGAAAGACAGCAGTGGTGGTAATCTTGCAGTTGGACAACTATCTGAGAGCCGAACAAGAACAGCTTCTGATCCACCACTAAGTTCATCACCTTGTGTCACTCAGTCATCGTTGGTGCTGTCATCCACAATGAAACAGACACCCATCAACTCAACTATCTTGTGCAATGACTATGGTAGTATCAGTTCGTTTGAAAGGACGAATATCAATGGTCAGTTTAGTGTGGATAAGCCAAGTGTAAAGGAGAGAGTTATTGTTAAATTGACTTGCACGAATAAAGGCATTTCTAGTTTCAAGTTACTATTTGAATGTTATTATCTTTGGTGTAAATTACTCTGTTTCTATACTTGGTTGATGAGATATGTCGTGTGTTTGTTGGTCATCTATATTCTACGATACAATGACATGGGCGTGTTGCCGTTCAGATTTGAGGATATAGCTGATAGAAGGAAGTTAGCAAATGAACTCTGCGACGATTTTCCAACCTAGGGCGTCAACCTGAGAAGGGTTGTAGGCGTACTGCTGTAAGTCCTACAATTCTTCAAAGGGTAGCGCATCAATGAGCAGTCTAATGTGCTCGGTGTGTGATTTTGTACATATGTTCATATTGTATATACTGAATTGATATCATCTGTCATCTAGCTGTTGGTAATTCTGTTTGTGTCCGGACGACTTCCACTTGGATCATCAACCTGAGAAGGAATGTAGGCGTACTGCTGTAAGTCCTACAGTTCTTCAAGGGTAGTTTGTCGTGTCAGAATCCACAACATTTGATGTGTTGATTGTACATATGTTTGTGTTAAATAATTGTGTGAGTTCCAATTGATATAATTGTTAGTTAATTTTGTTTGTGTCCGGACATTCCACAACTTACAATGGTCAACCTGTGAAGGTTTGTAGGCGTACTGGTGTAAGTCCTGCAATTCTTCAAGGGTATTCCATCAAGACATGAAATGCGAGTTTGTGTGTACTGTTTGTATATACGTGTGGTGTGTCATATCAATTGGTGTTATTTGAATTCATTGTGTTTACTCGTTGTTTTCGTACCTCGTTGTTATTGCATAATTTTGTTAAAATTTTCGTCGTGATTACTTCCAATGTTGTGTCCACTCTTCTACATCCGTGAATGAATTGATTGATGTTAAGGACAGCAGATGGGTCGTATACGCCGGGGAGGCTAGGCTATTTCTGAGAATGAAATGCACACGGAGATAATTGTTAGCTGCGGTCCGACACGCCGGGGAGAAAGAGTGTAAACGACTGAGGCTCGCATGCGTCACCGCTACTAGAACTGAGGCAGAATGAGTGACAAGCGATTGCAGTGGTAATTGATAGTGAGTAGATTAGGATGTGCGTAGAGTATCGTGAGGTGGTGCTATGGTCACATTGCATTCTGCAAGAGTCATTCTAGCAAGCGGCGATTGTGTTGCAAGATGTCAAGAGGAGGTCTCTGTCTGGAGGCGCAGGTCGTCATTGATGTGTGAGATTGTGCTGTGAGTATGCTTGTGGTGTGTTGGCTTTTCTGTTTGTTTTCCATTTCAGCTCTGTCCGTGTGACCCAGGTTCTCGCAATGGCATCCAAGTCGACGTGAATTGGTCGTGAAGGAAAAAAGGTTTGGATCCCTTTTCTGCCGGGGAGTGTCAATGGAGTTGAAGATTGAACGATCAATTCTTGGTTGTTTGCTCAAAATCAACTTCCCCGATTTTCGCGGAGGCATCAATACGACAGTCATCGTCTCATCGGTCGCTGTTCAGAAAGAAGAGTAAAACATCGTCAGAAGTAATATGACGATTTATTATTGTAATATTTGTTTACAGACCTTAGTTCGTTTATTCCTTTTATATGTTGGTGTAACAATAAAGAAATAACAAGCAGCAGATCGGTGTTTTGGTTTTTGCGTCCGTTATTACTAAGCGTTTCTGATACTCAAAGAACAGCGTGGGCCCGAGCGTAGCGAGAGCTGGGCATTAACGGTTTATGAGACGAGACTGACATGGATATTATGCGTAGTTTAAACTACGAGATGACTGTCTGTCTGTTTTCGACATAGAACTTTGCACAAATGTGCGGAAGTTCAAGTCGCCACATTCCGTGTAGCACGCGAAGCAAGAGAAGAAAGTACAAGAAAAGCATAATAGAAACAGTGAGCAGAGGTGTGAGACAAAGGAGTAATAAAGAAATACTAAACAGTTTCATTGAAGATCATAAGTCACAGGGAGTGGATGCATCTGCGCCACTGAGAACGGTTTTGAGCCATGTCACCAATTGTTTCCAACCATAGAATTTTACCGTCCCGTGGACCCCAGCCTGGAAGTCTACACCTTCCTACGTGGCTTAGACCAACTGTTGTGGATTTCATTGACTGATGCCAAGTTTTTGTTTGACCGCCGCTAGCTCTTTTCCAGCCTGACCCTATATCCGCTAACATTGCTCGTCGAGGGAGGCGATGGCTTGGCATACGTAACACATGTCCTAACCATCTCAGTCTTTGTAACTTCACAACTTCGTCGATTGATTTCCCCTGTTTACCTAGAACTCTACGCCTAACCTCCATGTTGCTCACCTTATTATGCCACTTTACACGGGAAATAGAACGCAGGCACCTATGATCAAAGACAGCTAGTCTTTTCATGTCTTCCATTTGAGGTGATGATAATAGTGGAATAATGTATACTGAGATGATGATGGGAAGGGGTTTGGCAGTGCAGCAGTGCAAATGAGCAGCGAGCTCCAGACATGCTTACACGCCAACTCAACAGTCACGGGACTCAACCATTTCGACGTTGTATGAGTGTAGGCAGCACCAAGTTCACGATTGGAGATACTAAGCAACCTCCGACATGTGAGGCGAAACACAAACACCAGATTGTCGAAGAAGTCCTCATAGTCTTTACTATGGGGCGATGAAGATTAATGGGGAGGAAGGAAAACTACTTCACAAATACACACAGCTAGGAGGACCAAAAGGGTTTCATTGACAAGCAGCTGTGTTGACTGAAATAGTTATCTGCATCTGACTATGAGGGAATTTCCACTGCAATTAATGCTGTCATGAGTGATTCAACATTCAGTTGATGAGAAAGTTGTGGAGTCGGTGCCTTGTCCGTAAGACTGTCATTTGCTAACGGCCAAGAAACACTGTGAGTGGGTGAAGGAAGTTACCGAAAGGGCCATGGAAAATTCTGCTCCCATGTTACCCTCCAGAAAGAGTCGAAAATCGCCTCCCTTTGTACGAAACCAGGGTATGACACATTCGGAAACCCACAGGGAAAAGATTAGACTAGGATACACATCGCCCCGAGAAGTTGGAATAATGCTATTGATCGAAGAGACAGGAGAACTATCCAGAAAACTTCAGACCGACCCGAAGAATCAGTATGGATTCATGGCTTCGAGGGGAAGCAATAACTATGAGGATCAGTGTTTCGAACCCCTGAATAATCCGGGGACGGCTGAAGCCTTTAATGACGAATATAAAAAGGCCAACAATGAAGGTACCGTAGGGACATGAACAACTGGTAATCCATGATTCACTGATACCTCTTTGAAGAAAAGCTTACAAAGCACTTTCCAAAATTCACCAGGGTAGGGCGGCATCACACCAGTAGTTCTCAAACAATTTGCCAATTATATACCATCAACGATGGTGGAATAGGGGGTCAACTCATCACGCCGTACGAAAAGTATATAGCCACAGACCCCCAATCCGAGACACTAGGTGAAGACACTATGGTAGCCGCCAAAATGGCGGCTGCTCTATCAGTCAGTCGCCTAGACGAAAGGCTTGACCATCAGGTAGAAGCCGTAGCTTCTTGACCATCTCAAGGGAAATAGAATTCTCAAGCCTTGGTTCGTATCATGGATTCATTCTAAAATAAATCAAAATGCGTCCAGCAAGGTCGCAGTAGTCGAAGGGACAGATAGTATGGAAGTCCGTCAGAGACCCAGAACTTGTTTGAGACAATTAAAGGCAAACGTCAAGAAATCATATGGTTTACTTAAGTTTTTTAAAAAGATATTACATTACTATGTCACTTTCAAATGTGTTTATCTGTTCTGCAGGATGGTGAAATAACGATTGTAAATCCAAGCAGTGCCAGCTTTGCGGAATAATTGGGACACCTGCTTAAAATGAAATGAACAGAGCTATATTAAACAGGAAGGAGATCCCAGTAACTTAATCAATCTAACCAAAAAGCATTTGACAACATCAGAATGTAAAGATAAAATAACTACATAGATTTCTGAAATTTCATGAGAAAATATTGGGTATTAGAATTAAATGTACTGTGAAAAATATCCTTTTCAAGTGGCGTGGGCGTTTGTTTTACTGCAACGAAATTGAAGACTGTTGTTGCCAGCCGAAGTTCAAGAATACAGTTCAAGTTATCGAGTTATCACTCATACAGATATCCTATTATCATTCAAGATGAAACGAGTCATTCGATATCTCACTAGTAAAGAGATGAAGGATTATCTGACAAGGTAATTGTAAACACCTGTTTAAGTGGAATATTTTTTAGCACTGTAAGTGTCTCAAATTTAATTCTTCGCTTTACAACCACAAGCAAAACATTATACTGACATTCAGTTGCTGTTTGTAGCATTTTTGGGGGCCTATAGCTAACTGGGGTTTGCCTGCTGCTGCTATAGCTGATACTCAGAAGAATCCGGAAAAGATTAGTGGGAAAATGACTACAGGTTAGAAAAACTTCCAAATTGCTTCATGTTTTTCTCAGCCATGGTGTTTTATTCATCTGCATTCATGAGATTCGCTCTTCGTGTGCAGCCAAGAAATCTTTTACTATTTGCCATGCATATTACGAATGTGTCAGCACAAAGTGTACAATTGTACCGTTTTCTTGACTTTTGGTAACACAACAAATACGACTTATCTTGTTTTCTAGGTTCGTCAAGGATGAGAATCAACGTCAGACCGTGAGGAAATATTACGATAGCCTGGAATTGGCACAATGAAACGTTTTATGAGCTAACCTGAAAAATTTCATCCATACAAAGACTTATAACATCTGATAAGTTGGATTTGAGTGATTTTAGGCTTTATAAATGTATAATGTATTTGGGAATACATAATACCAGTTGTACTTTCGTGATTTTCTCAATATATTCGTTCGTAGGGCATGCTATACTACAGATGATCTTTATTTTTAAAATTACTATGGGAAATTATTTTCCAAATAATGCCATTGTTACTATAGTTTCCACGGGTCAGTGAAAATAGGCATTTGTTTCATGTGTTAAATTTAGTCAGATAAATAACACTCATGTGGTAATGACCATGATATTTTACCGCAATGCTTCAACTTACTTTCTGCACTGAGAATCGTAGAGGTTTTTCACCAGATTCTAATTTAAACAAAACATGAATTCAGTTAACTTATTCCCTTGTGATGTTTGTAATGTTAAAGTTATCCACCTGGCATAAATCACACATATTAATCTGTAAAATTTATCATAATTCGGGTGGCTTAGAAATATTGTGATGAATGGAAATAGGTTTTAGGATTTATATGAAGTAGGAACAAAGTGTTTTTTTATGATAAACAGCCGAAGCTTAGATGTGCTGCATTATGAGGGTAAATGATTTAACCCAACATGGCAAAACACATGGCATATCGAAATTACCACTTCTTTACGAGGTCAAACAGTAAACATAAGTGCAAAAGAAAGAGATTCATTAAACTAATGAACCTTCTCTAGGAAATTAAATACAATAAGGAGAAATAGGCATTTAAATTTTACCAATATGGTAGCAAATAAAATTGAAAATATGTATTCAATTTAAAGCTTACAAAATCCAGTTAAATCGCTTTTTACCGACAAGGTATGCATGAATAAAGAAAAGATGTCATATTTGATGACTTATTTAACTATTCAGTGCTTACACACCCACTGAGTGAAATCAAGGTGTATTTATTTATGGGTTTTTCTATAAGCCTGTAAGTTCGCTTCTGAAATTCGAATGGCCATGGCAAAATTACCTCATCATTTGTTTTTAGAGTTCAGATAAGGAAGCCAAATCAGTTAGTTAAGGGTACCGGGAGTTTCTACAAAGTTCCGTGTTGCTGAATCGAGGTTCACTAAAGTTCCTAAAGTTGCACTGCATATGTTTATGCTTTGCAAAATGAAACATGTGTCAATCCAGGTATCAGATTTGTCTTTCTATCAGTTGTGTTATAAAGATGAAAATGATTGCGTAACCTAGCAGTGGTAGAAATATAATTTACTGAGAACAAAATGTACATAAGTACAACTGCTTTATCACTTATAAACGAGTTTTGTGTAATATAAAAAATGAAACGGTACTAATAATGTAGTCAGTGTGTTTAGTGAATAAATCAACGTATTTATTTTTAAGCGAAACATTTTTCATTAAGTAAAGAGTAGAAAAGTGAATCCATGATATTTGTTGGGGTTATGAAGTGTCCGTTCTGTGTTTATAAAATCTGTTAAAAGTACATCTTCCATGTCAAAAAGTGTTTAATGATACAAAGAACTTGTTAGTATTACTTGAGTTTCGAAGAACTATTCAAGTGACTGTTGTATGGAGCCTTAGATAAGATATATAACTGACCTGATGAAGCTGTAGACTTCTAAAGTTATTTTGTCAGTATTGTGTTTGGATACGACTTTCAAGAACACTACATCAATACAGGAGGTCGCTTAATGTTGATCTGAAAGGGTAAACTGTAGACTGCCTGATTTGAATCCAGGTGACACTCCGAGTTTGTAGTTGCGGACTCTGTGTGACATATCTCAAAAATGAAAAAAAACTTTATAAACAAAACTTTTTCAAAGCGATAAGCAGGTAGGCCTACCTAGACCAAGGCTTCGTGCTAGTTGGCACTCACCAACCAGTCAACAAGGCGTATCTGCAACCGCTTTGAAGGAAGTCATGTCCCTTGTGAGAATCGAACCCACTTCACCCAGTGCTGCAGTCAAACACCTAACCACTGAGCTATTCGGGCTGCCGGTTGGCCTCGTGTATGACTGCCTCCAACCATCAAATACGAACGATTTACACTGCACCGTAATGGCGAGCCACCTAGTGACATGCTGGCCACATTGAAACGTTCATCGATGGAATTCAGTTTGCACTAAAGATAGCATTAGACACATTACACTAGGTACTAACTAGTGTCCAATCAAAGATATACAATACAGTCTTACACGATCTCAGTTGACAGCCCGAATAGCCTAGTGCTAACTTCCATAACTGCAGCACTGGGTAACATGGGGTCAAGTCTCAGGAAGGACATCAGCTCCTTCAAGATCGAAGATACTCCTTTCTGATAGGTGAATACCGACAAGCACGAAACCTATGTCTAAGGTTTCCTTCCAATTGCCTCCAGCCATCTAAAAACAGGTCCATATTAGATGAGGGAGAGGGAAGATTCTGTGAAAACCGCACTACTAAAGCTGTAGTCTTAAAGCGTGAAGCCTGAAACCTGACATCCCATTTCGAAAACAAGGAATGAAACACATTGATAGGAGAAGGCTTATGAGTGAACTTAGATTGCAGGTATGAATAATGCCATAGACCGTCTTGACCTTGCATGCCTATGAAAATGTGTTGATCGGTTTGACTGCAATTCGTTCAGCTTTAGTCAGCCTTTTTTGATGTGTCTGCCATCAGTTCGCTAATGTACACTTTAGAAATAATTCAGAAATAGCTGAATTATTATCATGATTGCAGCAGTCAACCACAAAAATCAGATCCATTTATTAAAAATGATCACATAAATGCTAGTGGGTGGGTTACAACATTTATTCAACATTGTCTGTCATACTGCAGCTGTAATTCTAACAGATCCACTTCAAAACTTTCTGTGATAGTCTGTTGTCAATTAAACAAAGATGTAACTGTGGAAACTGACTAAATAAGGAAAAATAACTTCACATGTTCACTTCCTGTCGAGACAGACATTAGACGCCACAGACGGTTTCACCGGACCATGAATATCACTGGAAACTGATGCACACCCAGATTTTACAACGAGTCAGTGTGGTGTTTGACTGTTTGTCAGGCTGGAGTGGACTGGATGACCATTCGAAAAATGTCAATATTTCTTTTGGGATTAAGTACAGTTTAAACACTGGGAGCTTCGATAAAGAGGAATAACTTGATATCTTCTGTATCCAGCAAAATCCAGCCGTCAGGGTAGCGGAATACAAATGGCAGCAATTTTGTTTTGAATAAGCTCTGTCCTTACGTTTTGGTAGTATTTATAGTGAGTGTGGACTTCACTATTTATTGATTGTTTTTAACAACTATCCACACTGAATCCTGTATTCAGTGGATATTTTAAAACTGTTCTGTTGGTGGCTTGTTAATTCTTTGGCTTCAGGCTAATGTACGTATTCTGGCTTATACACCATACACAGCGGTAGACAGCCTTAGATTGTGTTAACAAACAACAGGTCTGATATAAATGGATAAGCCCGAGATCGTGACTGATTGTTTTTGGAATAATTTTGTCACCCTTAATGAGGCAATGCATAAAGACGATCTTCTCCGCACTCAGCTCCATCCAGATTTTATTGAAGAGGAGTCCCTATATTTAATTGGTCGACCAATGGTTATTATTATTATTCCCTTGGGTTCCAGCTGGGACAAAGAGCTACAGCAGCACATCAGTTCGTCCAATTCTCTTCGATCCTCTTCAGCTAGCCCCATATTCTCTCACCTTTACCTCGTACAATCCCCTTCGTGTCACATTCGAACTCCTGATGGTTATTTCCCACTCGTGTGCCACTTAATGGCCTGGCACACAGTGTCACTAAACAAATTCCTCAATATGTGTCTGACTCATCTCTATTTCCTTTGGTGTATTTGTTGAACAGTAGGTCCTTAGTTAGCTTCTTCCCAGGGTTTCTTGTTTCTAATTCTTTTCGCCAGCCGTTTGATCTCCAGTATGGAGACAGTGTGGGAAGCTTTTGGAAGAATTCTGTAGCTGGCTGTTGGGAATGATTTTCGTGACTCACTCACCAAGTTTATGACCCATACAGTGGAAGCACTAACTCAACATTAATGTTTAATTTTCAAGGTTTGTTCTTTATGCTGATTGCAGAAGATTTCCGCAGTGATTTTAGATCAATGAGCTGCCTCCACTTGTCTTTTCGAACATGACTTTGTTTTCTTCATCGATGCAGCGTATAGTTGAAACGATAAAACTTAGATAGGTGATGGAAGTAACCTCTTACAATTTTCCTTCAGCTGATAGTGATTGGTTCTTGTTGTTATCGTTGGTTGGTTATCTTCACCACCCCTCTGTCTTCTCTATGTTCACATGAAGTCCTGTATTTGCTGCTTCTTCTGACAACATGTTAGTTTCTGCCTGTAAATCTTTCATTTTGTGTTACGTTAGATATCGATTACCCGTGAAATCCACACCCTCCAGAGTCTGCTCATCGACCCAATGTATTCCAGTCTTCTCTCTCTCTCTATACACGGTGTGACGCATAATCTAGTCTCCAGTGATTAGAAATATCATAGATGACAATAGGAAGCCTTATCTTACTCCTGCGTTCACTTCAAAAGCTTCACTGGGTTTCCCGCTGTGGATCATTTGACATACAGCACTATCATAAAACTATTTAGCGAGGCTGATAAAAGTTTTGTGTGCTGCACTCCGCAGTTTCCGTTGATCACTTTGTGGTCAACGCCTTTATAGGGCGTGTAAAACCAGATGGAGTTGAGATAAACATTTTACCGCCATTCTATATGCTCTCTTCGTTAGTGATGCGTAGACTTTCAATTTGACCCAAACATGATTAACTTCACCTGGATCCGGTGTGTTCCAGTCTGAATTCTGCATCCAGTTGATCTTTTATTCTCTCCAGGATGATGCGACTTACTATTCTGCTTCGGGTGGACAAGAGCATGATTCCGTGCCACTTCTTGAAGAGACCGACCATTAATATAAGCAGGTTTTATTCAGTGATAGATGGATCTTCTCGAAATTTC